GGATGGACGGTAAGTCCAGGGAGGCAAGGGGCAGCTGCCCTCTCCTGCGGGTGTGGGGGAGCCGCTGGACAGTGCCAAGCTGGGCCTGGGGGTCCCAGCCCTCCCCCTGCCCAGCCGGATCCCCCAGGAGTCCCCCGGCCTTGTTGCCCCGTGGCTCTTTGAAGCTACTGTCACCTCAGCAACTCCTCTCCGGAGCAGCAGGGCAGGGTCCGGAGGACCACACTTCTGAGTGCACATCCTGGCCACTAACATCCGTCAAGAGGCCCTGGGCAGTGGGGCCTGACCTTGGGCCAAGGATGCCCAGCTATGAGATGCAGTAACAGCGAAAACGACTCTCGGGTTAAGCAGAACATAAGTGAAGCCGAGAGATAATTAAGCATCTCACGAAATGAAGTGACCGTCTCTGAACCAATCTCATCTTCCCCCGGCCTGAGCCTAGCGGCCGGAGGTCCAGGAGGCGGCCATGTGATGCTGCAGCATCCACAGGATCCTCAGATTGCTCCAGGGGTGATGGGCCTTTTCCCCTGGGGGTCGGGCCTGGCCTACACAGCTGTCCCCTGGCCCAAGCTCAATACCCGGAGTCTAGAAAGTGGTGTGCACGGCACGTCTAAGGCTCCCCGGGCCTACCTCCCCCGCCCCCCTCCCCTGGACCTAGTGAGGTATCTGGGAGGAGCAGTCCCGACGGGCCTAACTGCGGTCCCTTGCGTGTCTTTCAGGGCAGGCCTGGTCCTAAAGGCATCCCTGGCATGTCCGGGCTGATCGGAGAGCCGGTGAGTGCCCGTGGATGCCAGCATAGGGGCAGAGGGGGCTCTGCCGGCCCCTTGCTCCCTGCCCTTTGCACCTGCTTCCCCCCCCAGAGTCATTCTCCCACGGCCCTGGGCTATACTTGGGCCAGCTGCGCGGGCCACTGGCCCTCCCTTGTTTCGCTCTGCCGTCAGCTTCTGGAAAGGCCTAATTTGTGGGTGAAGGGCCGGCACACTTGCATTTTGCCGGAGGCCACAGAATCTTTTGCCGTCTAGACCACACAGAGGTAGAGGGTCTCGGGCTGAGCTCACCTGCATTCCAGGGGCACGTGAGGGTGGTGGGGGACTGGGTGGCACAGGTGGGGGGCATTCTGAGGGTCCTGAGCACTGGCCCTCCCCACCTGTGCCCCCTCATCCCTGCTATGTGCCCATGCCCAGCACAGACCCCCACTTCCTCCTGGCCCCCTCCCCATCCTGGCCCTAGAGGATGGGCCCCTTGGGAGGCCACCTCGGGTAGCACAGCCTGGCAGTGGGAGGCTGAAGGAGGGGAGGGAGGGACCCCAGCTGCTCTCCTGCCACCTTCCCAGCACACGGCGGTGTCTGAGATTCCAAAATTAGTCAAGCCTCTGGGATTCGACAGGCCTGAGCTCAAATCCTGGCTCCCAAGCCTCAGTTTCCCCGTCCGTAAAGTGGGCACAGCAGACCTTCCCTGGGGCGCGTGGAGAGTCTAGGCGGACACGGGACGCGGGGGGCAGCGTGCGGTCTGGGCGCGTCCTCACCGCCCTCATCTGCATGATCGGAGGGTAGCACAGGTTACTACCTGCCCCCTGAGCCCAGCAGGGCAGACCTAGTGCAGGGGGCTGGGGAAGGGAGGGGCCTGCTGGGCGTGATCTGGAGGGTGACCAGGCTGACTGCCCACTGGGCCTCACACCATCCGCTGTCCCCAGGGCATGCCAGGCAAGGATGGCCGGGACGGTGTGCTGGGACTCGATGGTGAGAAGGTTGGTACTGGCTGGCGGTCTGCAGGGGAGGAGGGGTCTGCAGGGAGTTCAGCCTCCAGGGCCTTAGCACCCCATGTCCCCCCCAAACTCCTACAGGGAGAAGCTGGTCGCAATGGTGCCCCAGGAGAGAAGGGTCCCAATGGGCTGCCGGTGAGTGCAAGGGGCTCCTGCCGTGGCCCCAGGGACAATGCCAGTGGTCATCTCCCGTGGGTTCCTGAGTGGGGCCGCCTGCAGGGGGCTGTGCATCAAGACCGGGGAGGCTGCAGGAGCCCCTCACCCTCGGGAGGTGCTCTGCCTCTGGTCTTGTATGCTGACCTCTGACCTTTGACCTGCAGGGTCTCCCTGGACGAGCAGGGTCCAAGGGTGAGAAAGGAGAACCGGTAAGTGGCTTCTTTCTTCTGGGGAGGGGAGGGG